CACTGCTGCGCAATGTTTGAGCTGTCACTTGAGAACGCATCACCCCAAAAACAGAAGAAATCCTTTTATACTTTTATAGAATAAGAAATGTTGAAGATCTCTAAGCAAGAAATAGATATACAAAGTTATCACAGCATTTCCAAGTTTCAATATGCAATGTTAAGAAATTCAGCCAAGAGAGTCACACAGAACACAACAAGCTTGGCAGGGTAGGAAGCAAAAGATTTTAATAAAAAAAAAAACTCTAGAAAGAAAACTAGTGATAGATGTGTCTAAAGACCCCATTACTACTGCCAAAACACTTGAGTCTAGAATTGTAGTCTCAAAAAGGACAATCACGAGAACAAACAAACAAAAATTTGCAGTGTGAAGTGAACCAAGGTCCATGCTAGAAGCCAATAAAATCTAGAGGAGCTTGAGAGATTTGCCAAAAGATGAATAGACTGGGATTGCTCAGGGGAAGTGCGAGGCTTTTTGAAAGCTGCTGACAATTAGCCTTAGGTAGCTGATAATTTTAACCCTGGTGGGACAATATTGGTCAGTATCTGAACACAACAAAGCACAGAATGTAACAGCGGCTCTGCGTAGCGTGGTAACGTGGTCATGGGGCAGAGTGGGTGAAATTGGGCTTGAAGGGGTAACTGTAGCGTGGCTTGGTACGTAGAGCGATCACACTGAGGAGAGAGGAGAGTGGGGTTAGAACTGTGGTAAAAGGGGAGTACTAGAAAAGGTGAGCATGGCTGTATTTCTTGCTTACTTGCAGGTGGAGTGAAAGATGCTTGGAGGGAGAGGTGGCGTGAGTTAGACGGTGTGAGATGGCTGACCTGAGTTCCGTAGGTTCCGAGGGAGTGTGATGACAGGAGGGCAGGCAGATGAGGCACGGAGAGATTTCCAGAGAAGAGCTGGGTTATCCGAGGTTCAAGAGATTAGCTTAATTTGGGGGTAAGGGTTTTGGAGGTTCCGGGGAAAGCTAGGGCACAAGAGAACAAGGTAAGAAGAGCACTTGGCAAATAACATGGAGCATTAGAGCCGGCTACCAACATGGAGTAGTTGACAAACTGTTGGAGAAGGAATATCAGTGTAAGGCTTAAATCTCTTTAGCCTGATTGCCTCAACTCAGCTCCAGCTGAGTGAAGCTGTTGGAGATATGACGGCCCTGCCCAGGGTCAGATACCAAGGAGACTCAAGACCCTGGTAGAAGTTTCCAGCCACTCACCTGGATCATGACAGCTTCACTGTGCATATATGAATGTTTATTTATTTAGTAATGGTAATATACACCTGTAGTCCACAAAAATGAAAATAATGACAGGTAAAGTCAGCCCTGCGCTCCAAATGTTTTATAGATTTGTATCGCCTTTTAATTTCTGTGTTATTTCACAGGTGGGCAGTGAAGGAATTGGCATAATGTCAAGATGCAAGGGAGCAAATATCGGACTGTCACTCGCTGCTTTTGTGCCAGGTGTCGAGGCCATAGTGTGCATGAATGCCTGTAACGCCAATGTGGTCACTCCTCTCTACTACAAGAAACAGCAGATCCTGTCATCAATAATGTTTGACGAAAGCAAGTTTATTCCCACCGAGTCAGGTGCAATCATCATAAAGGATGCTCTTGAAGATCCCCTGACAGAGAAGAACAAGGGCAGCTTGATCCCCATTGAACGAGCCA